TAAATCTCCAAAAATAAAAAATAAATATTATTCATATTATAAAAATAATATATAATCTAATATATAAAAAATAAATGGATAAAAAAAATTTTGGACCGGACCGGTACGCCGTATTTTTAGAGAGCTTTGAGTTCTTTAAAGACTTGATTTTAACTCATCGGCCCTTTTGGTGAGTTTTATCAAAAAAATACTAATGCAAATAATAAATTATACCATTCCAAGCATACCTCTATATGATTATTTATTTCTTATTATTATTTTTTAACAAAAGTCTTTATTGAGATCAATGATCTCTCTTATTTAGAGTAACAAAATAAGCTCTCCATAGTCAAGTACTCAAACTTGAGAATGAAAAGTTTATAGGAGGCAGTAAACATGGTGCACAAATCCTTAATTTTCTCTATAAACTCTCTCTCATAAGCAAAAAAATTAGTTCTAAATTGTAGTAAAAAATCATTAGGTTTCAAATTAGTAAAATTTTCAATTAGTGCTTACATTAACATGAAATTCAAGAAATTGTTTCATCATATAATACGATTAATTCAAATACTAATTATAAAATTATTTGAGTTTTAAAATGTGTGTTGATAGGAAATATATTGTAAAGAATGGTCTGCAGCATATAATATGATTATTTTATTTTTTAAATTATTCAATTAATGTAAATTGATCATTTTTATTTATTTTAAAACTAATACAATATGATACAAATCATATAATACAACTATAAGGTCAATTTTTATTAACTTCAAAATTTCCTAACTTATCAAATAGTTCAAACTAAAGATCGAATAATGTAATCATTCAACACTATCATATATCCTATAGTACAATTAATTCTAATTTTCTTAATTATTCCTATTATTATATTAAGTCAATTTTTAATTTTTAGATATAAATGTATTTAAATCATCTTAATATCTCCAACATTTAAATATATAATAATTTATGACAATAACAACAATAACAACAACATCAAAAATTTATTCTACTACATAAAGTCAGCTATATGAATACTTTTCTCCATTATATCCTATTAAAAATCAAATTCTTATTAAAAACTAATAAAAAAATTAAAAAAAAAAAGAAAGGACATTATAAACTTGAAATTAGATCTTATAATGGTAGATGGGTTCATTCTAGTTAATCATGCCACCAATATTTGGGTCATAAATGCACTTTAATTAATTTATCTTTAATTTTAATCTATAATTTTAAATTTGACCTTAAGATACTAACCTTAAACCAAATTGTTAGTACTAATTAACTTATATTTATAATAATCAAAATTTACAAACTTAGGATTCATTTGAAATAGCTGCAACTTATTTTAAATATGGTTACAAAATTACTATGGAAATTTTTTTTTTAATTTTTTGTTTTTTAAATTGTTGAAGAAAATAGCTTTCTAGTTTAAACATTCATTGAAGGAAGTGAAAAAAAAGTAGCAAAATAAAAAAAAAATTATAATTTTGATATGAAAAACAAAATAGTAAAAAACTATTCCAAACAAAAACAACCAATCTGCAGCCATATAATTGGATGCCACATGTTATTATAGACTAATTTCCAAAATTTAATTAATAATAATAAGAAATTATATCATATCATTATATAATATTGAAGATAAGGTATTTAATGGAATCCCATGATGCAATGAGAAGCACATAACAAATTATATGTGGAGCTCAATAACACTAAGATTAGTACTATAAAAAATTAAAAATAGCCAGCATATAAATTTCAAATAGATTTGAATCCAACGGTCCAAATCAAACCTAAATTATCAGCAAGCACGCTTCACATAATCTGCCTCCACAATATTTGACAAAAATTAACCCAAAAAACTTCAAACAGAGCAGCCAAAAAGTACCAGCAAATTCCAGAAATTAGTAAACTTTAAGAATCAAAGTACACAATACAAAATAGGTTCAAAGGAGGAAATATTTCACATATCTAAGTGATAAAACCATCATGATTTTCAACTAAGAGATGAAAAGAGACAAACCTTGCAACCATCCTCAGTTCATCAGTGTTCAGACTTTATAGAGCTACCTTCCATCTGCTTCAGTCACTTATCCAAGCTGATTAAGCTGCGCTACAGAACTGCTGTAAATTGATCGAGCAACAGAATTCCATCTAAAAAAAGAGAGCAGATTGTTGAATCTTGTAGAGGAACAGTTTAAAAAGTTCGTAAATAAATTGACAAATGGAGAAGCCACTTAGCATAGAAACAGTTACAGTATAAATTTATGCAAAAAATGACAAAAGCACTAGAACGAGCTAAAAGATTTTATGAAGTTACAATACAACGGAATCTTGCAATCCTTAAATTCAATACAGTAAAAAAGAAAAACTAGATCAATAGAAGCAAAGAAGGAAGAAACTAAGGCCTCGTTTGGTTCCCCGGCTCTATTTTTCTTTTTTAAATGGAAGTATTGGAACAGAAAACGGAGAAATTTTTTTCTTTTCAGATCGGCGGAAATACGGAGGTTCGGGAGAAGGTATTTTGAAAAAGCTGTCTTAACAAACAAAAAAATAATAATTTTTTTCGCCAACTCAAACCGGAGACGGAGAAATTACGGCCAAACAAACGAGACTAAATGAAAACAACTATACACTGTACTGCAAATAAAATGCTGAGCAAGATAGCATTAGTATATGAGATTTTTGATCATATAAGAGAACCAAATAATCTTATTTACCAATTTCAAACTCAATTATAAAACTCAAATTAAAACACTATACTTTTCAATGTACCCAAACAGGCCGTTATACAAATCTGAGTACTGGACTATGTAGGAAGCCTTGTTTTTTTCTTTGGAAGAACCGGTTTTGACATAAATCAATGAACTATGGCAGGTAGGAGTAGCCAAAAAATATACATATGATATCAAAAGTACTTCTATAATCTCCAGAAGACATTCATTCATCAAACGTGGGTTGCTATTAAAAGTTCACAACATATATGCAGAAAAAAAAAACTGAATGGTGATATGCATTATGTAAATATATGCATATAGTTAAAAGACCATCTCAAAACATACCTGAAATTATATTATATACTGTCATCCATCATCTGAATCTCCTTAAAATGGTTCACAACTTCAATCATTGTTGGCCTTTTGGCTGGCTCATCAGTGGTACACATCTTGGCAACCCTCAGAACACACATCATTTGCTCTCTCCACAAGTTGATAGGTGAAAGGGATGGATCAAATACCTCATCAACCAACCCAAAGCCCTCCATCCACCTCACCCATTCCACCAGATTACCTCCCCCCTTCTCTTCTTCCTGGCCAGTAGGAGTTCTTCCAGTCAACAACTCCAACAATACAACCCCAAAGCTGTAAACATCACCCTTTGCTGTTGCCTTCATTGTTAAGCCGTACTCTGGTGGGATATAGCCAAAGGTCCCAGCAAGGTCAGTAGTTACATGAGTCTCACAAGCACTGATAATACGAGCAAGACCAAAGTCCGCAACCCTGGGCTCGAAGTATTGGTCAAGAAGGATGTTACTTGATTTCATATCCCTGTGAATAATGTGAGGGACAAAGCCATGATGCAGGAAAGATAGCCCCCGGGCAGCGCCTAAGCAGATCTTTAGCCGAATTGACCAGCTAAGTGTTCCATCAGCATCAGCTTGTTTCCTAAGCCATTGCTCAAGACTCCCATTTTCCATGTACTCGTAGATTAGAAACCTCTCTTCACCAAAGACACAGTAGCCAAGCAAGGGAACAAGATTCCTGTGCTTCACCTTTCCAATAGTCTCCATTTCAGCCAGGAACTCCCGGTCACCCTGAAAATGTCTCCCACTATTGAGCCTTTTAATTGCAACAACCTGGTTTTCAGGTAAAGACGCCTTATAGACCGTGCCGAATCCACCATCCCCAATAATATGAGACTTGCTAAACTCATTTGTTGCTTTCATGATATCAGCAAGAGTGATGCGAAACAAAGCATGCTCAAAAGTGGCAATGTTGATGCTGACTGGCTCCTTTAGTCTTTTGCTCAAAAGCTCCTCAGAGGATGCTGGCTCAATAGCTGATGACTTGGTCTTATTTGCTGGAGCGAGGGCTAAATTTTTCTGGTAATGTCTCCTCCATTTGATAATAATGAAAAAAATTAACACAGAAATAAATGCGACAGAAATAATAATACCCCAAACTAAAGCTCGACCAAACAATCGTGCAGAAGGGTATGCAGCCAATGGCTTTGAGATAATGTGACTCCCTACACATGCCTGGGACATCGTGCAGCTCTCTGGTGCAAAATTGTCAAATTTATTGCCAGAAAAATTCACATATGTGAGCCCAACTATGCTGCAAATCTTACAAGGGATGGCATCCTGGAGATTGTTGTTAGAGACATCAAGATAAGTGAGAGAATTTAGACTGGACAATAAAGATGGAAGACTTCCAGTGAAATTATTGTTATGGAGGTCGAGAATAGAGAGAGAAGTTAGGTTTGAAATAGACTCTGATATAGCACCAGAGAATAAATTATTGCTGGCGTTGAATATAATAAGTGAGCTAACTCCACCATCAATGTCTGTGAGAAACGATATAGACCCAGAGAGAAAATTTAGGCTAGTGTCCAAATGCGTAAGGCTCTTAAGAACAAAAAGAGATTCAGGAAGAGGGCCAGTAAGTCGATTACTTGATAAGTTAAGCTTCACTAAACTTGGCATCATCAAGCCAAGATTATCAGGAATTGGACCCTCTAGCTGGTTGTTTGACAAAAGTAAGCCCTGAAGGTTCTTTAAAGAGAACTGTGCAGACAATAATGTACCTGAAAGAGAATTGAAAGAAAGATCAAGGACAGCCAGGTTCAGGAGGTCATTAAGCTCAGGAGGGATGATGCCATTAAGCTTGTTTCCTTGCAACATTAGCTCTTTTACTTCCACACAGTTCTTGATTGTTTTTGGAATCTGACCTTTAAGATTGTTATACGATAGATCAAGCACACCATAATGCTGATTGAATTCAGAATCCGGGTGCTGCGCCAACTGAAACCCCGCACAGATTTCATCAGGTATTTCACCAGATAACAGGTTGTTGGAAAACACTAGATCACCTAGAAGCTTCAACTGAGATATGGCCTTAGGAATAGGCCCAGACAATCTGTTTGATCCAATGTCAAGTTCTACCAGGTTAGTACAGTTGAAGAGATCTAATGGGATCCCCCCAGAGAGTTTATTCCCATGAAGTGACAAATTAGTTAAGTTGCTTAATTTTCCAATAGAGTTTGGAATGAATCCTTCAAAATAATTATTGTCAAGTTGCAACCTCCGAAGAAGAGATAAACCTCCATTGCTATCTGGGAGCTTACCACTAAGTTGATTGTCACAGAGATAGATTTCAACTATGGTTTCAGACTGCAACAATTGTGAGGGAAGAAAGCCAGAGAAGTTGTTGTGCGAAAGCTCTAGGGTAACTAAAGGCAACTCGGCTAAATAACCTGGAACCTGTCCGAAGAACTTGTTCCCGTTTAAGATTAAATCAGTGAGGTTTGAGCATCCTCTGAAGGTTTCATGAATGCTTCCTGTGAGTTCATTGTCAGCAAGAGAAAGATGAGAGAGTGACTCAGCCTCACAAATATCAGCGGGGATCTCTCCTGACAGATGGTTTGCGTCAGCAGTGAATGAGGTCAAGTACTGTAGCCTTAAAGAAGGCAGAGTCCCACTGAAGTCGTTCTTCTCCAAACTGATGAATCGTGCCATGCTCCAATTTGACAACCAGCCAGGAATTGGTCCAAACAAATGGTTATCATCAACAAGGAATGAGTTGATGGATTCAAGCGCAAAGAGACTATCTGGCAATGGACCATAGAAGTGATTGAAGGAGAGATCCAATATCATCAGATTCTTCAGATTTCCCAACTCCTCGGGTATCTTCCCAGTGAGTCCAGCATGGGATGCAACGAGGTAATTAAGATTTGTCAGTTCCCCAATACATGGAGGAAGCTCCCCTTCAAAGTTGTTGTCAGATATGTCCAGGTCTGTTATTTTCTTGAGTTTGGAGATCTCACTGGGAATTTTCCCAGTGAACTTGCAGCTAGGGATTGAAAAGATTTCGAGCTGTTTAAGATTTCCAATTTCCACTGGAATACTCCCATTGAAGCCATTAGGACCCAACCATAAAGATATTAGACTTGACAACTTCCCAATATCTTCCGTTAGAGGTCCTGTAAAGCTGTTAGAAGAGAGGTCCAGTGTCTTTAGATTGACAAGAGAACCAAGGCCAAAAAAGAATGTTCCTGTAAACCCATTATGGCTTCCATCTAAGTGTATGAGTTGGGTCAGATTCCCAAGGCTTTCCGGAAGACTCCCAGCAAAAGAGTTCATGCTGAACTCTAGAACCTGCAGCTTCTGTAGATTTCCCAACTCCATGGGGAGGTTTCCAGAGAAGACATTTCCAGATAAACTGAGTATTCTGAGATCATTGAACTGCCTAATTATTGGGCCCAAGTTCCCATGCAACATGTTTGAACCCAGCAATAATTGTTTAAGCTTCGTCGAATTGGCAAGTGAAAGAGGAACAGTTCCAGAAAGTTGATTGTTGCTCAGGTCCAAATACTGGAGATTCCACAGATGCCCCAGTGTTTCTGGGATTTGGCCAAAGAGTTCACAATTGCTAAAGTTGAGGATCTTTAGGGAACTGAATTGTCCAATGCAGCTTGGGATGGGAAGGTTTAGAGGTGTGAAGGATAAATCTATTGCCTCCACAATTTCATGATTAGTGGTGCATTTTACACCTAACCACTGGCATGGTGGTGTTTTTCCATTAAACCAGCTTGGAATGAGTTCTCTCTCTCTGCTTAGTGAGGACCTGAGAGTAAAGAGTGTCTGTACATCCTTGCTTGTTTCTGCACTTGAAAAGGAAACACAGCAGATGAAGAAGAGAACCATGGATACATTTGCACTAGATGCCATTTGTTTTGGTGCTTGGCAAGGCATCCCTGCTGTGCAATTTCTGCTAGTGTAAAATATAGAGTTCTCTGCAAATGCACGAAGTGTATCTGCTAAGCAAAGAAGAAGATAGATTAAGAATGGTCCGTCCAATGACTATATATTTATTTCCCATGCAACTTAATTTGCAATCTTATTAATTTTTTCTAGAAACATTCTAAAAGCTCAAAAATTAAGAATAGAGAAGCAGCAGCTAAAGAAGGTGCCTTCTACTTATGCGACAATTAAAGATGAATAAGAGTTTATTGTCATACTTGCATTCTTGTCCAACCCAATTGTTTATTAGAGGGCTTTAAATTATAAGCAGAAGCCCTATTAGGGTCTGACTAAACTAGCTCAGAATATCCAGAACATATCACTTGTAAGAAACTGGTACGCCTTGGAAATTAAAAAATAGCCAACGAACAAGAGAAAATCAGCAAAAGCAATTTTATTTATTGCTAGGAGATTAAATAACAAAAAGAATTATACAACGGTCCTCTTTCGAGAGGACCTTCTCCCAAACCCTAGACGCCGCTAGGATCCCTCACACAAAAAAAAACTACATTAGTCAAAACAAAATCTGCATAAACCTAAAATAAACCCTTACTATGGGCTTAAAATAAGTTTCCTCCCTCTGATGTAGAACGGTGGGGATGGGGGTTGGGGGAAAATAAAAATTAAAGATCTAAAATTCCATCTAAGATTTCCCTTAATTAATGGATTTGAATTTGAAATTCAAACAAGAAAAGAAGGAAGGGAAGAGAGGAATTAATTAACTCCTTAATTGGGGCGCGCCTCTAATTAGGAAGAAAATCATTAAAGTAGGGGAGGGAGAGGGGCCGGCCAAATGAGAGGGAAGGAGGAGGTGTCTAGGTTCAATGGATGTGAATAAAGCATTAATTGGGATTGAGAATTAAATCTGAAATTAATTTCAGATTGGGAGTAATTGGAGGGGTGTCCTAAAGTAAAACTTATTAAATTGGAAAGTTTTTAAATTTAAAATTTATATGAATTCAAATTGAATAACTTTCCAAATTAACAAATAGCTAATTTAGGAAAGACTTTCAATTCAATTAAAATTGAAATTTGAATTTGAAATCTATCCAGATTGAAATACACCACATATGGAAAGGGATTAATTTGGAATTTGAAAATTCGGAGGCAAAGAGAGGCACTATGGCCGACGGTCAAGTGAGGGCTAGGGTTTGATAGTGGTGGTTATGGGGTGTAAGTGAGCCGAACCGGCTCGAGCTCGACTCATTTATGGGCTCGCGAGCCGCGAAATATTACACCCCTAGGTGGTTAGGAGGAAAAGGAAGGTTTTGGGAGGTCTTGGTAGGGAAGAAAGGATCCTTGAGGGCGATGGTGGTGGGACTTATGGCCAACGAGTGGAGGAGAAAGAAGGGGAGGTTCAGTTTTGGAGAATGGGAGGAGGGAAGAGGGAAGCTTGGTCGCGGCTATGGAGGGGGTATGGTCGGCAGTCAAGAGAGAAGGAGAAAAAGAGTCCAGGGAAAGAAAGATAAAACCGTGAGCCTGGATGTTTCCTGCGGCTGACGGGTGATACATTGCACTTCACCAAAGGACTTCAAGCCACGAGCCTAGACCCATCCTGCAGCTGGTGGATACTACAATTCCCTCCCATAGGGATCTCACTAAAATCCTCGCAAGGAACAAAAGTGCAGAACAGTTTTTTTATTAAAACTCCATCATACCCATACAATAGCAAGGACCTTTATATATAGGCCTTAAAAAAACTAAAAGATAAATTTGCCCCTTGGGCTTACATAGGACAAGACTCTTAAAAGTAAAAACAGAAAATGCATAATTAAATCAAAATACAATTAATAAACTAAGATAAAAATGGAGGGATCTCGGTCGTCGATCTTCGTCTCTTCCTTTGATTAACAATCACTGTTGGATGTTTGCATCATTCTCCCGGGGTGGAAAGAGCTTGACTTCGTCAAGTTTGCATCCCGGGTGCGCAACCATACTCTGATACCAAACTGTGGCTGCTTTGTTTCCCTGTTGTCTGCTTGATTTCCCTGTTGGTTACTCAGTTCTCCCCTTACTAATTCCTGTGCAGGATGCTTTGGCTTCTTGTGAGAGCTGATTTGGGTGGGTCTTATTGGTTGTCTTAGAAACACATTTATGTAATCAAATGAATGTTTTTCTCCCTCCTATATATAGTGGCTGAATCTCTTTTGTGGGAGGTTGTTGGTGAAGTGAAAACAAATTAATCATGAGGGTTTCTTCTTAGCTTGCGAGTTGTCTTCTCCTTAATTCCTATTTCTTCCTCTCATTCTTCTTTCTACTCCTTCCCTACATGGTTTTCCTTCTACCAGTATCTTTCTTCTCTAAATATTGAGAGTTGTAAGGTGAAGTTGAACCCTGTTTTGTTGGTATTTGCCAGAAGAGCGTCGACATGTGCTAGATCATAATTTCAGTGGTGGATCATTGGTTTATCCTTTCCATTGAGCACCTTTCCCTAGTTTGTGATTTGCAAGTGAAGTGATCAATTGTGGTTGTTCTGATGGTATTTTAATTTATGTATTTTTTTTTCCTTTTCTTTCTTTCTTGCACGAATTACTAACAATTTTCTCACATTTGTTCCCTACTAAGTTTCCATCATTTGGTGTTTGTTTCTATGATATTAAAAGGAAGTTTTTTTTTATTTTCATGCCCAATGTTCTCCTACTTGATTTAAAACTTAGATTGCATTAATTTGGTATCAGAGCATTAGCTTGTTAGACGAGTTTTCCTTTCTTTTATAAACAAAAAAAGGATAATCAAAACAATCAATAAGCAGATTAGCAACGTATGATTATACAATAAATGTCTAACCTACAACAACAAATATAAGTAATGGCTAATACTCTGGTTGTCCTAAATCTAAACAATACTAATAATCAAAACATTGAAATTGAAGATGAAGCACCACATAACCAAAATAGGAACAATAGCCAATGGGATCACAAAATTAAAATTGACATCAATGAATTTGAAGACAAATTATAACTTGAACAATTTCTTGAATGGGTAGAGAAAATGAATCAATTTCTTGAGTGGAAAAAAATCCCTGAAAATAAAAAAAGTTAGGTTTGCAAGTTTAAAGATGATTGGCCTTGTGTTAACTTGGTGGGAAATTTTTTAAAATAACAGAGTAAGGAGAGGCAAAGAGAAAATTCAAATTTGGGATAAAATGAAAGAAAAAATGAGGGGAAATTTTTTAACTTTTGACCACACCCGAACCTTATTCCAAGAACATAATAATATTCTCCAAGGAACCCAATCCATACAAGAGTACACTGAAGACTTTTTTTAAACTACAATCCCGAAATGATCTAAATGAAATTGAGGAACAAACTATAACTTGATACATCAATGGACTAAAATGGTCAATCCAATATCAACTAAATCTTTATCGTGTAATCAAACTTGATGAGGCCTATCACATGACATTGAAATTTGAGAAACAACAACAATGAAACAACAATAAAAAATTTGATCCAACTAAACCTAAGCAATCTCTAGGAAGTAAAGCTCAAAATTCACTAGTAGTTATAGGGTCAACTTCATCAAATCCAAATCCAAGAAAAAAACCTAATGAAACCCTAGTTAATGAAGAAGGAATAGGATTGATAGGTGCAATTAAACCCTACTATAAGTGTGGCTTATATGGCCATCTATAAACAGCAAGTAGAAAAAATAACCCTCCTAGAAATATTTATATTGAACAAGAAGATAACCATGAAAATTCAGAAGAGATTGAGTCTGATCAAGAAAATGAGGAAGAGTTGAAAACAATTAATGTTGAAGATTACTAAGGGGATGATTAGTTAGTTATACGTTGAGTCTTGACCACCAGATCTGATGCTGGAGATAAATGGCTTAAAAGGAATATTTTTCAAACCACTTATACTGTAGAAGGAAAATTATGTACCTGTACCTCATGATTGATAGTGGTAGTTCAAAAAATTTTGTGTCGCAACTCATCGTGGATAAACTTAAATTAAAATCAAAACCTCTTGTCAAGCCTTATAAGATATCATGGTTCAAAGAAGGAGAGGTACCAATCATTCAACAATCCCTTGTCAACCTCACAACCAAAAAATTTTATAAAGACCAATTATAATGTGACATCATGCCACTCAAAGTATGGCATATGTTAATAGGTCAAACTTGGCAATATGATCATAAGACCATTCACAATGGTGAGAAAAATACTTACACCCTGACACAACGCAACAAAAAGTTCACCCTATATCCCTAAGAGAATATTTCTGATCCTCCCACTAAAGCTGTCCAAACAACCTCAAATTTACCCACTCCTGAATTGTTTCTCAATACAAATGAACTCAAAAACTCAGAAATAATTTATGTTTTGGTTGGTAAAGAGACTGATGAAACAACAACAACAACAACATCAAGCCTTTATCCCACAACGTGGGGTCGGCTACATGAATCCTTTTTTCTCCTTTGTGTCCTATTAAAGGTCAAATTCTCGTCTAAATCTAATAAAGAAATGTCATTCCTAATATTTTCTAACCAAGTCTTTTTAGGTCTGTCTCTACCTGTCTTAACATAAGTCAAATCTAATACCTCTACTCTCCTAACCGGGTCTCCGTTTTATGTGACCAAATCATCTAAGGCGACTCTCTCTAATCTTATCTTCTACTGGAGCTACTCCAACCTTTTCCGTAACTATGCTCATTTCGTTATCCTATTCTCTAAGGGTAAAGCACTCAATCCACCTGAGCATCCTCATCTCTACCACACTTAACTAGTATTATGCTTCTCTTTTAATGGCCAACATTCAGCACCATAAAGCATTGCAGGCCCACTACCATCTTATAGAATTTTCCCTTAGGGTTGTAGGGGTTGGTACTTTTCTATCACACAACAAGCCTGATGCATTCCCCACTTCAACCATCCAACTTTGAATTCTGCTGATAAATACCTCATCTATTTCACCATCACTCTGTGAACAAATAGGTCCAAGATATCTAAAATGTTACTCTTATTAATGACTTGATCGCCCCAAAGTCACAATCCCCTCACTAGGTCTATT